GGAACACAAGCAGGGGGAGTGGGAGAGGGAGAAGCAGGCTTCCCGCTGAGCAGGGAGCCCGATGTGGAACTCGATCCCAGGATCCTGGGATCATGACCTGAGCCAAAGGCAGACGCCTAACGACTGAGCCACCCAGGCGCCCGGCACCTCACCTTTTGATTATCAGTTTTTAAGTACAGGTGATTTAAAGGTATGTAAAATGGAAATGTACTAGCTGAATTTCAACAACCAAAATTTAGCATGGTGGACACAACCAATCATGAGTTACTAAGCCGAGCTGACAATGTGTTTCTTCCACCTGAACTGACAAATCTTTGTGAGGTATCTTTTCAATTCAACAGCACCAAATTCAAGCTTTAGAGACAGAACATCCAATTGCTGTACCATCCAAAGCCAGAAATTTTATTTATTTTTTATTTTTTTGAGGGGTTGAGCTTTTTAATATCATAAATCAGTGTCCAGCCTGGCCTCTCACTGCCAGGCCTATTTATCTTTTTTAATTAATTAATTAATTTTGTTTATTTGAGAGAGAGAGAAGAGTGAGCACGAGCTAGGGGGAGGGGCAGAGGGAGAGGGAGAAGCAGGCTCCTCACCGAGCAGGGAGCCAGACATGGGCTCCAACCCAGGACCCTGAGATCATGACCTGAGCAGAAGGCAGACGCTTAACAGAGGGACCCACCCAGGTGCCCCTAAAGTCATGAATTTTAAACTAGCAAAGCATTTTTAATTACATGGTTCTCATTAAAAAAGATTATTAGTAATTTTGGATGGAAAAGGGATCACATGCATTTAAAGGACAAAAATTATTTTTCAATAGCACAATTTAATGTATTTTTTATTATACAAAATGCTGGGAAAATAATACATGTATACAATTTTTATAAACAATTTTTACAGATAGGAATGTGTGTCCAAAAAAAGGTTTGGAGATGACTGTTTTTTGGTTTGTCTGGAGCAGAAGGCTTCATGAATTTGCATGTCATCCCTGTGCAGAGGCCACGCTAATCTTCTCCGTATCATCCTAGTCTTAGTGTATGTGCTGCCGAAGCAAGCACTGGAGATGAATGTTTTAGTGGCAAACACTATGATTTTAATCTGACATTTATCACAGGATTAGTTTTTCTATCTTACTTTTTTTGTCCTTAAAAAAATTAAAATCCTTATTAAAGTAGCAGACTGTGAGAACAAGAAAAGACACTACATCCAAAAAGGCTTTCTATATAAACTGAGAGAATGTGGGAATTCAGTCATTTTTTTCAACGATTTTAAGCTGGTAAAGCCCAGTGCAAACCATCCTCCAGCCCTTCCCGCTGATTTCCTTCAGACCCCTTCTGCACCTACCCTCGTTGCTGCAGTGTTTTTCAACTTCAGAGCAGCTTTAGTCAAGTCCTTCCAGCTACAATCATTCAATTTCCTAAACATCTCTCCAGATCTACAATATGCAAACTGTCCTCCTAGACTGAGGGGAGCACAAAGATGAGAAGCCTGATTCCTATTTTTACACAAATAACTATAGTACAGAGCAGAATGGGCCAACTGTTCTACGGAGGTTTCAATACCAGTGCTAGAGAAGCCAGAGAAGTAACTGATGTGTCAACAAGGCAGCTTCTAGCAAGAGGCACCCTGGAGCTTGGGGCATCAGAATAGCCAATACCTCCCTAGGAGCGCTTCCTCCACCGGCGGTGAGTCGGCAGTCCACGACATCACTCCTTTGGCTAGCTTCTTCCCGACTAGAGGCTAAATAATTCCTATGAACCTTAGTTTCTCTAATTTCATTCTGAGAAGTCAAAAGAAAGACTACCTTTTCCTGCTACGCCTCCCACAATTACTTTCCACCACCCTAATTCAGGCTCCAGATCTCCTGCCTAAACTGGTTGACAGGGTCCCAGTCTCCCCAGCTGCAATCTCTCCCCAGTAGAAACGAACAACAAACTGAGGTCAGTGCAGTATTGCCAAAGAATGCTTCTGGTCATTCCCTCCTTCCCCTCAATTAGTGTCAGTGAATCCTCGCTATCTACCAATTTCGTGTTCAAAGAACACACCCTACTCCACTTTTCCAGTCCTATCTCTGAATAGTGACCCCCCCCCCCCCATATTTCAGCCTATCTGACTATTCATGTTCCTGACGCACAGGGTGTGATGTTCCATCTTCACACCTCTGCTGTGCACGATCTCCCTCCATTACACCTTTGTTGGTCAAATTTTTACTTACTTGTCAAGATGTAAAATCTCTTCTGACACTCCAAATTAAATAAGGTACCTTCCTCTTTTGAACACCCTCAATCTTGCTTTGTTCCTATTTATGTCATGTATATTCTCCTTCTATTATTATTTGGACTGCAGTTCCTATCACCCCCCAACTAAAGTCTAAGCCCCTCAAAGGCAGAGAGTCTTCTTTGTACTTACCTGTTACAAGACCTGGCAGTTTAATTCCATTAAACTGAACAGAAGAAATAAGAAGTACTCAAAATATCACCGCTCCCCCTGCCACTTATTTCCCTTTAGTGGCAATTAGCGATCAGATATCCTACTAATACTTCAATCACTAAAGCCCAGAATCTCACCTTCCTGGATTCATCTCCTTACATGGATTCAGTCTCCAAGCACCAGGGAGAATGATCTAGTTCCATCAAGTCAGGCTTCCTCTCTTTGCTTCCCTGCCTTCACTCCCCTCCCTGCTACTTCATGTCCTACCTTACTCTGATTATTCTTACAAAAACTCTATAGCCTTCCAAGAGCCACCCTCCAGTACCTGGTCCCAGTTTCCCCTCACGCTTCACTGTCCATCATCGATTTCTGCTCCTCTCGTGCGTGAGCCTTTTTCATCCACAAAATGAGTATCTACTAAATAGGCCTTGGATTCTGATCACCTTCCTTTACTCACATCACAAAGTCTGGGATTTCCTCTCCCAGTCTTCTCTGCCTTTTCAAATCCTCCGTATCCTTCAGCACTTAGCTAAAATGCCACTCACCCCTCACTGCTGTTCAATTCAAGAACATTCATTCCTAGAGGCCTAACAGTAAGAGCAGATGTTCACTGAGCGCTTTCCATGGAGTAGATATTAAGTCTTTCACATAACAATCTTAGCAGGTAGTAGCTACAATTATTATCGCACTTTACACAGACAAAACTAAGGTTTACTGACGTTAAATAACACACCCAAGGTCATACAGCAATTAAATGGTAGAGCCAGGATTTGAAATTCCATCTGTGGGACCCCTCAGTTCAAGCTCTAACCATCATTCCGTCCCAACACGTGGGGTAAGGAAGAGCTTCTGTGTACACACAGATTCTTTTTAAGAGGGGGTCCTATGAGGATGACCACCCAGGCGTGGGCCTCATCTGCCATCTGCAGTTTTCACCAGAGAGCAGTGTGGCTAAGGAGACACAGCAGGAGATGCAAGTAGGAATCACCTCAAATCTAACCGGGGGGACCATCCAACAGGATAACTGAGCAGGACTGGTGTGGAAACTAGCCTAGCATGAGATCTCTATTTTTATGAAAATTTTATCCTGTCTCAGCTATACTAAGGAGGATAAAGGAAAGGAATTTTTTTCTTTTTTAAGATTTTTATTTATTTGACAGAGAGAGAGACAGCGAGAGAGGGAACACAAGCAGGGGGAGTGGGAGAGGGAGAAGCAGGCT